GTCTGCTTCTCCCTCTGACCCTCCCCCCTCTCATGCTCTGTCTATCTCATTCTCTCTCTCAAATAAATAAATAAAATCCTTAAAAAAAAAAAAAAGACTCACCTATTTGCTTCTCCAAAGATGATGCTCTAGGACTTTGGCTGGTGGACTGGCAAAAGAGAGAGAGAAAAAAAAGATGTATAATAAATATGAAGTTCTTTAAGCTAGAGGGGGCAAAGTTGTCAAACAAACCAAATAAACCTAAGAAGGAAATCTCCATACATCAGAACCTCTCCTAACTCAGACTCTGGCCATGCAATCATGTCTCACCATGCCCCAGTTTTGTGATTTGGAATAGTTCTAATATTTTTAAGCATTTTCAAGGAAATTTAGTTTGCTCATTTAAACAAATTCACTTCTAAGCAAGACTCCAAATTCCTTTTCTTTCTTGAATCACTAACCTCTAGTAGGGGTTCAGCAGGCGGCCTTGCCAACCGAGAAAAGAAGAATTGTTAAGTGCCCGTCCTATCTGGGCCCTGATCCTCTACAAGAGAGCAAATACCCCCTTGACTCATTTGAGCCTCCGTTTCTCTGCCTCTGGAATAGAACGACTAGAATGATCCATTTCTGAGACAGGAGAAAAAAAGGACTAGAAAATACTTTGCAAGCGAGGCCACGGCCCCTCTGGGCCTCGGCATCCCTCGGGCCTCCGCTACAGCAGAGCTGCTACACTAGCTTACCTCTCTGAGTTCAGCCAGCTCCTTTTGTAGGTGGAAAAGCTGAAACATCCCCAGCCCCAGCCCCACCAGGGCTGCCAGAACCATGAAAAACATCACAAGGAGACACAGGCCTGTGTTGTGGTCCCTCCGCGTCTTCAGCGGCCGCAGCGGCAGCCGAGCTAAGGACTCCGGCGGTGGTAGTGTTGGGGGTGTTGGGGGGGGCGGCGGCGGCGGCCTCCTCGGCCCAGGCCTTCCCGGCACGGAGGACGGACACGGGAGGACCGAGCCCGGAGAGGCCCAGGGAGAGCTAGCACTGCTGTCCACCCAGTAGATTTGGGGGTACGGGTAACTGAAGGGCTGCTGCATGGCAGCCGGTTCCTCGAGCTAGCCCCCAGCTAAGGTGTCAGGGCCAAGGCCGACACCGCTGTTTTTCTGGCTGCTCGAGAGAAGACAAGCCGGCTCTCTCTTTATAGAGTTTCCATCGCCAAGGGAAACACCTCTCTTTCGTCCTCTCTTTCCTTCTCTCTTTCTGCTTCTCAAAGAGACACCCACTCACTTTGCATCTGAAGCTGAGAAGCCTCAAAGACTAGACGCTCAGAGCAAACCCCGGGAAGTTTCCGCCCACAATTTTCTGATGAAAGCCTGCAGGGCTGATAACGCTGGTGGGGTCGCCTGATTTTTTTCAGGCCCTGCGAGCGCGGGGAGCGCTGGGCGCAGGTGTCCAGGCCCTGGGGGGCAAGACTATGGAGTCGCGTCCACATCTTACCTTTTGCATGAGGCAATCAATCCCTTGCTGCTATCCTTTGCCCACACCCAAGTACTATTTACCCTTAACACTGCAAAGCACTATAATGTATGGGGTAGAAATCTGCCCCACCCCCTCTCCAGGGATTAGATCAGAGGTTGCAAACCAGTGGCTGATATGCCCTATGGAACCCATGGACCTCACTATGTTTTTTCTCTTCTCTGTTGCCCCCTTTTAAAATGGGGATAGTCCACATTAAAATATATTTATTTTATCATGTTTTTGAAACATTAGAATCCTGGACACCCTAGAGGCCAGCCCAACCCCTGCAGCCGAGCTGCCCCACCCTGCACTGTGCCTCACACACCAGGTCCTCCGGCGATGGCCCTCTGGTCCCTGAAGGCCTTTGGTTGCAGCCTGTGATGTGGTTGTCGGGTGTAACACATGGTGTTCAGTTAAATTTGAATTTCACATAAAGAAATCATTTCTAGGATAAGTGTCCTAAACATCATGTGGAACATGCTAAAAAGTTATTTGTCATTTATCTGACATTCAAATTTAACTGATTGTCCTATTGGTTTGTTTTTTTAGTAAAGATGGGAACTCTATCTGGACGGACCTCACTTTTTCTCTGGCTTCGAATACCATTTATATGCCAGTATCTCCCAAGTGCTTGGTGGCAGTCCCAATCATGCTCCCACACAAACCCTATAAACCTCTCATTAAACCCTGTTTTCCATTTTACCTGTGAGCTCCACTTTTCAGATTTCATTAGCATTTCCATCATGCTGTGGCATTTCTGTGGCTGTCATTCTGGCTTCCCACCTGAGCCAAAGCAACACCAGATTTATTTCCCTGCCACCTTCTGCCCCCCCAGCCCCTCCTCCCCCCATTCTGCCTGTTTCACTTGATGTCAGTCTCTCTGGTGATGACTTCAACTTCTCTCTCTTTCTCCCGCAACATTGAACCCAGGCCTGTTGATTTTCCCCGCACCTGTTTCTCACATCAGCACACCCTCTTCACTTCTATTTTTCCTGTTATTGTCTTAGGGCAGACGTTTATTACCTCTCACCTGCCCTAGGGCAATGGCACCCTAACTGCTCTCCCTCCCACCAGCCTTCCCGAGCACAAATCACCCTGCAGAATGACGCCAGAACCACGCTGATAAAAACAAACTCGGAGATCTCACTTTCTCACCTAAAAACTTGTGTTGAGGGTTTGAAGCCTCAAGTCGTTCAAATTCCCTAGCGTGACACATGGGGCCCCTTCCCGTTACACTCCAACACCCGGCACTGTCTTCTGTCCAGACACTTCTGCCCACATCCCACTCTGCACTCAGGAGACAGTGTGACAGATGAGAGCAGAACGACTGCATGAGCTTCTCACTATCTTTTCGAGATGGGCAGAGTGAATGTGCTTTTTGAACTCACATATGGCTTTACTCATACTTACGAAAAATGGCAAGTTTAAAGTCCAGAAGTGATCATAGGAATGTATAATTTTAAGAATTCCACCGTGCATACAACCAAAAAAAAAAAAAAAAAACCCTGAAAGTATCCTGAAATAACTCAGATAAAAACCCTATAGAATCATCTTTTTTATACTGTTAAAATTTTACTGAAGTTGGCAAAGATTCAAATGAGTGAAAAAACACACCACATCGAGGATGGGGAGGATAGAAAGTGTTGCATGATGCTTAGGGGTTTCTGGTTCTTGAGTTAAACTGTGTGGGGTTCAAATCCCAGCACTTCTACTTATGAGCTGAACTGGACAGTCACTGTCCCTCCTCGGTGCCACAGTTTTCTCATCTATAAAAACGGGCCTGATCAGAACAGTATTTATTTCATAGGGCATTGTGAACACTAAGTGAGTCAAAGCACTTGCTACACTTAAAATAGTCCCTAGCTTCAAAGTAAGCTCTTAGCAAATGTTGTCCTTGCTGTTGTAAATGCAGCAAATCTTCCCACATGTAATCCATCCTTAGACTTAACATACCTGATGGTCTTCCACTAAAGATAAAAGAAGGTGCAGAGGGGAGATAGGTTGCAGGAAGAAGTACAAGTCAATGCCCAACAACCAGGATCCGCAGAGATTCTGCCAGTGGACTGATGGACTGATGGACCCCTCTGTTTCAGGCTAAGATTCTCTCTCAAACTCGCACAGAAACTTCTAGCATTCTTCAGTAAGAATTATGCTATACTTTCACACCTCCCTCTGCCCTGCTTCTTGATTTAATCCGGGATAGGAGGAATCAGAATCCTATATCTGCCCCCAACCCATCCAGTGTCCTCGGATCCTGGGGAGAATCTGAACAGAAATAGAGACAGAGTGCAGTCTTTAAACACCAGTATCGCTCTTTGATAATGCCACCAAATATCATATGTTGGCTAAATCATGGAGAAATAAACACTCTAACAGACAATAACAGGGACTTGTCATAGTTTGGGGTACTACCAGAACCTTGTTCATTAGCAGAAATAATCTTTTCAAATAAGATGTTAGCTCTGTGATTGCTGGGGGGTGTGGGGGGAAAACACATATATTTGCCTTTGAAAGATGCACTGAAGGGGCGCCTGGCTGGCTCAGACATTAAAGCAGGCGACTCTTGATCTCGGGGCCGTGAGTTTGAGCCCCACATTGTGTGTAGAGATTACTAAAAATAAATAAACCTTAAAAAAAAAAAGATGCACTGAATAAATAAATCAAAGGGACAGCAGGCTGGCAGCTCCCACGTGTGGGAAACTCCAATTGAGGAACTTCTCTCTTTCTCACTTCATCCCTCTCCTTGTGCTGGCGGCCTCTCTGATTCTCGAGCCAGCGTTCCTTGAGGATGGATGGGGGAGAAAGATTCAGAACTGGTGATTTCTTTCGGATAAGGGGTAGGATTGCCTGTCGTAGAGATTTAATGGGATGTGGGTGAGGCTTGGGAGCAAATTTAAGCGCAGGACCAAATCAGAGAACGCTCCTTGTACAAGTTGTTAGAATTTTTTTTAGGTATCTGACCTTATTAGATGAAATTTAAATTATCTTTAATGATGGTCCCTCTAGCATCGTAATTCCCTTCAGAAATTGTCCAGACCCTTTAGTAAAAGAATTCCAGTGATCTTTCCCCATCTTAGCATGTCAGCCACATGGAGGTTAAAAGAACAGAAGAGGAAGGGGAAGGGGCTCCTCTTTCTTTCCGTCCCTCCCGTGTTTTAGCAGGGGAGTGGCCTCAGTGGACTGTCATGGCCTGGAGCTCTAGACATGACTCAGCAGTCACGCGGGGTGGTGCACAATGGAACCATTAAGATCCTTCTGCCACCTCACTCAGTGATGCTGAGCGTGCAATCTTCGGAGGACACGCTGCAGGTGCCAGCGGCCCTGCTGCCAACATGGGGAAGCACACAGCGTTGCACTGTCCCCTCCTTTCTCTGAGGCCAGCACTCCTTCCGTCACCACCGATGCATTTCCATTGCCATTGAGAATAAAATCTGAAATCTTCAGGGTGACTTCCAAGCCCCCCGTTATCTGGGCGCTTCCTTACTCTGCAACTCGCTTTCTACTCTATTCCTCTCATGCCACACTGCAGTCACATGGGCCTTTCAAATATGGCATCAAATACGGCAAGTTCTTGCCCACCTCAGGGCCTTTGCCCAAGCTGCTGCCATTGACCAGAATTGCCCCACCTCGGCCCTACTTTTATATGACCAGCTCCCAGAATCCTTCAGTTCTAAACCGAATATCACTTCCTCAAAGAGGTCTTCACTGGTCACTCCATCTAAATGAGATAATCCCAGTTAGCATTCTCTCTCATCATACTCTGTTTTTTTTTTTTTCCCTTTTCTTGTACTTAGCACAATTTCATAAATAGATATCATCAGATATAGATACAGAATCATGTCTGTCTTCTGCACTCTCTTGTATACGCAGCCTAGCACAGTGCCTGGCAACTAATGTGCAATAAATATTGAAATAATTCTTACCAGACTCCCCATACAGTAGTTCTATAGCACCCTCAAATCACAGCTCATTCACTTTCTCAGTTTCTCATCAAATTTTGGCTCTTAAACCCTGAGACAAGTCAGAAGGCATTTGAGAGGAACCTCACAGGCTTACACCCAAAGGCATCCATCCCATTAATAATCCAGCTGGGTGCCAGGTTGGTCTTTCCCACCTCCAGATGACCTCCTTGCCACTGAAGAACGTCCCAAGAAGCCAGGGAGAGACTGTCCTCACTCCTGACTCAAAAGTCTGAACACCATTCAATGCAGTCACTGTTTCTCTCAAGAGGCTTATCAAGTTTTCTTATAGTTAGAACCCTGGTGGCTGACCCTGACGTGATAAAGTTTAGGTGGTGGCTCAGGAGATTGACCATCTTTTTATTTGATTTTTTTTTTTTTTGGAAGGCTCCACGCCCAGTGTGGAACCCAATGCGGAGCTTGAACTCATGACCCTGAGATCAAGACCTGAGCTGGTATCAAGAGCCGGATGCTAAACTGACAGACCCACCCAAGCACCCCCAAATTTTTGTATTTTTATTGAAGTACAGTTGACACACAGTGTTATATTAGTTTCAGGCGTGCAAAATAGTGATTCAACTTCTCTATATATCATGTTGTGCTCACTATGAGTGTAGCTACCATCTGTCACCATACAACACTATTACACCATTGACTATATTCCCTGTGCTATAGCTTTTATTCCCATGACTTAGTCCTTCCATAACTGGAAGCCTGTGCCCCCCACTCCTCTTCACCCATTGTGCCCATCCCCCCATCCCCTGTCCTCTGGCAGCTATCAATTCGTTCCCTGTATTTAA